TTTTTTGTGGGGGGGGGGGGGGCGGTGATCGTGCAAGCAACCCAAATGTCACCTTTTGATGGGTTTTTTTTTGAGTTTATGAATTCTTCATTGGTGGGGTTTCTTCGCTTGTCTTTCCGCGTTCGTCTAAGATTTTCTAGAGATAGATTCCTTCAAATCTATTAATTTAATAAAACACCATTTCAAGATTTGAAGAGAGGGAAAAAAAAGAAGCTTTGTTCAAATTATGTCATCTCATGAAATATTTTTCCTTTTTAAAAATAAATTATGACAATTTCAAATGAAAAGCAAATATAATAATAGATGGATATATACTATATAATGCGTAGGGTCCAACGCTGCTCATTAATTTAGACTGCATAAGATTTGCTCTGGTTTTGGGTGGCAATTCTTTTTTTTTATTATCAATGATCCACATCTGAATCTAGATATATCTAATATATAGTTTAAAAGGAAAATTATCGAAAAATAGCAAAAGCAATCACAATTTTAAAATATTTGAAAAAAATAGTGTTTCCTAAAAACAATTTAACCTAATATGTATATATATATATATAGTATAATAACACTGTTAATCCTAAAATAAAATCTATAAGGTTGAAAATACAATGAAACAATTGAAAATGACAAACTGAAATTTATTGTATTATTGTAAATATATAAATAATAATTTCTTTTTTTTCTTTTAATCCAATATTCAAATTTGACCAAGATTTTGTCACAATAGATATAGATGGAGGATGATCCAAACTCAATCCCGCTCTTAATGCAGACTTCGTCAAGCAATCATCAACTATGGTTTGTTTCTTCGATATATCAATCTTTCTTTATCATCTCTATCTCTTGATATTTATGAACCAAATTTCAAATCGGAATTGGAAATTTGTTTCGGTGATGGAACATTGACACACATTGATTGAATGATGGACTGAATTGAAGAGGCTTCTTCCTTTTTTTTATGGTGGGACAAAGGCACTGTCCTCCTTTAGCTTTACTTGTATGAGCAAAAAGGCTGAGACCACTAAGTTCAATTATTTCATGAATGCACCAAACCAAACCAAACCATGAAACCAATGTGTATATATATAGACATGTGCCCAACAAAGCATATTCTATATTGCCTATGCATATGATCATATGAGTTATGTGTTCATATGAGGCTCTCTAATCAAACCAATATAAAACCCATTGTATAATCTATTATTAATTAACTATTGAGTTCCCAAGTAAAAGGCAAGCAAGAGGGTAGATGTCTCCGAACTTAAGCAATCATATACTACTATATAAAACAAGACTGATAAACTTTTGTATCGTATATGCATTTCACTTACAATTAAGTGAACAGCAGTTGAAGCAGACAAGTCGGCGAATTGCAGAGACACAGTGGAGGAATCAAGCTTAGAAGTCATGTGACGATCTCTCTGACGAGCCAATCGAGACAAGGGTACGCAAAGTAGAGGATGAGGAACGACGGGAGAGCCAACAGGAGGGTGATGAGAATGTACAATGCCAAGATGGCTGCACTCGTCGGTATGGCGTAAAGGACTATCAGAAGGAATATGATGACCAATGGGAACTTAGCCGTCAGATGAACAAAGAATACCAGTGACTTCCTCAGTGAATTCTGTATCCTCCCCATGCGCATGATGCCGTCCCCAGCATTGCCATGACCGGTATCAGATCCCGATGGCTCGTGCTGATTCCCATGATGGTGATGGTGATGTTGATGATGATGACGACGATGTGGAGGTTCCCTGATATGGTTTCCATTGGGCGAGTTGCTGGTAAACGACCAGCCCGGCTGAGAATCATCACGTGAAGCAGCAGCAGCATTGGACTTGAGCCTCTCACCGTTCATCCTCTCAACCATCCAAAGCACAAAGTAATTCTTGCGAGGGAATTTGAGTGTTTCCCTAAAGACGAGTCGGAAAGACAAGAGGTTGCACCATGGGCATGAAATGAAGAGAGGAAGCTGAACTGGGTGTGCAGGAAACTTCACAACCGCCCACTGAAGCCCTAGAACGCAGTTTTTGCAAAGTGTGTGACCACACCATAGCACATAAGGAACGTTTTCGACGATGTTGAATGATTCCCAGCATATGGGGCATTCCAGACCTTCGTCCCCGCTACCGACAGAGGACGCATCGTCATCTGAACATTCCAAGGCTGGATGCACTACTTTTCTCGTCTCGTTTTTCATCCCGATGTTTCCTGTAAGATAACTTGATGCTAGATTCCACATCCTGGTATTGGGGATGGATAACATGATTGCCTTTTTCCAGTAAACCGAACCCAAACCAGTTCTGTTAATAACCTCTATGGGGCTCCCATGTCAGAAGAAGTTCATAAGCAGCTGATCCTCTAATACTGGAACAATCACACATAAGAAATCGTAGAACTCAAATAGTGCATAAATCCACAATACATTGCCACGCTATAAATGGTGATTTATAACAACAGTGGCACACAATCCCAGCCGACAAACATGAAACCCTACACTCACGGTAAATCAACAGGGTTGAAGAAATTAAATCCAATAGCTTCAGGTTATTGCACACTCATAAAACAAACAGTTTGCTCTAAATCCATTTTCTACATCTTGATCTAATAGTCCAAAACTCTTCTTACTTTGACAGGAACTTAGCATCTTTAACGAATTCCCTCTGAAATGCATACCCAAGTCACTGAATAATTTATAAACTCAGATCTGCTAAACTAAGATGATATTTGTATAATGAATCTAAAGCTCAACATCTACTTCACTTATAGGATTTACTACTTCTTTCACATAGTCAGGCCGAATCTCCAGAGAACATTTTCATTGGCTTAACTTCTACCGGATCTCAAACTCCTTTACCAGTGAGCCAAAGCCCAACTACTAAAGGTGACATTTTCACGCAGAATTCATAGCTTCTCGCAACTGTCATGAAGAAACTAGATCGAAATCGAGCCCGTCGAAACAACGCGAAAGACCCGATCCCCCGAAAAATTGGGGAAACCCCCAATTTAAGCGATGGAAAGAGAAAACCCTAAATTAAGAACAGCAGTCAAATCGATAGAAGCACAAGTAGCTAGCAGATGGGTATAAATCGAATTAACGCAAACCCAGAATCAGAATTCGCCAATAGTTTACACAACCGGTGGAAGATCCAAAATCGAGCGAAAGGTTCTAAAAAAAATAGAAGTCTGCAGATAAAGATCATACCGATTCTCCTTAAGTCAGATTCTGCTCCGACAAAAACCACGAGACACCTCTCTGTCCTGAGAACCTCTAAACGTTCGCTTCGTACCGTTTGTGTGAGAAAATACGGTCGATTTTCCAGGACTCCTCTTTTCTCTTTGTTTTGTTTGTTCCTTGTTTTGAAAAATAATATGCAAAATTAATCAATTTTCGATAAAACTATAATCTTTTAACATTTTGTCTAAATCATATATAAATTATTAGTAATAAAAAGAAATTATCATTTTTCTTCGAATAGAACACTATGGAACTAAATAAAAATACGACATAATATCCACGTCAATAATGTACCAACGATATATACATGTTTCTAGTGGATATCATTTAAATGCCTTTACTAGAAGTGGATATCATGATCTATGACCACACCGGTAATAGTTATATATTAATTGTTTAAAATGTAGGAAGCTCTTAAATAAAATTCCATATATTTCATGTATTATTATAAAAATAAATAAAATTTATAAATTATTTTACAGTAAACTAACGAATTCATAAATTTTGGTGGAAATCTCTTTTTTTTTTTTTAGTTTCCTTCTCCCATAAAGTCCGTTGAAGATTAGTTTCTCCTTCAAACTAAAAAAAATGAAATAGAATAGCGAAAAGAAAAGAAGATATTGATTTTTTTTACTTGAAAGGTCTTTGTTTTGGAACATTTTACATTTGTTAGTTTCCTTAAAATAATAATTATTGATTAGTCAAAGTTAGGGGTGGACGTTTTAACCCGTAACCCGGGGTTTTAGAGGTACCCGGCTTAACAAGTACCCGAATAAAGGATACTCGAATATTAACGATGAGATCGAACATTAATAAGACTAAGTTTTCGATCCCAAGTCCGAGTGGAGGTTCAATTATTTTACAAAAGGTACCCGGGATACCCGGTATATTTGTTAAAAATCTAAAATATACTTTATATCTATAATATTTTTGTCTAAATTATTCTTATTATTTATTAAAATACTTTTATTTTAGTTCAATTTTTTTTATGTTATAAACATTTCTATACAAAAATTTCATCATTCCAAATCTCATTTTATATAACCGAATCAACCATTCATCTCTCTCAAAATTTTACTCATCTCTTTTCATCGTGAATTTTTCTATTTGTACTTTGACTTCTCTCATTTGTATTTTCTATATCTATCATTTTATAGTTCAAAATTTTATAAATCGTATGGGTCCGGGTACCCACGAGTACAATACCGAAAATCTCATTAAACCCGAGTTACAAGTACCCGGATTTTATAAAGCCAAGATTGAGATAATATTTTTGTAAAATCCGTGGTAATGAAGACGATATAGAGTTTTCTAAAAATTGAGGGTACCCGATCCGTGTCCACCCTAGTCAAAGTGGTTATAACTGTGGAGCTTAAAATTTATTGATTCATATATCATAAAAATCATTCACAGATTTACTATAGTAATAATAAAACTAACATGGAATCGTCAATCAAGTTTTAGTAATTACTTAAATAATTTATGAGGCAATGTTCAATGTAAGAAAAAAAACAGGACACTTGCTTAAACTTTCCCGCCAGAAACTACCCGTTTAGAGAGATATAGATAGAGAGAGAGAGAGAGAGAGAGAGAGAGAGAGAGAGAGTTTGTGAGCCCCAAATTCGAGGGAAAGCTTCGCTGAAATTTAGGGCTCCAAAGATGGAATTGTGTTGTGTTCTTCGTCATCGTTTCTTCCTCTCTCGAACCAGAACCAGCGAGGTGTTTGTTTCACCGGTATCTGCTTTTTCTAGGGTTCCCAAATTCCTCTTCTGGGAAAAAAGGCTTTTCCCCCCCCTGATAATTCCACAATTTGGGTACCCTGGAAATCGTTTGTGCCTGGAAATTCAGAATCTTGACCACAAGAAACTTCATGTTCAACTCTGCAGGTATACCGTTCGACCATTTGCCTCAATGAAAACTCCCCCGACCGATCCATCTTATCGGATTCTCATGAAATGGGTTGGAACCTTGATTCTTGTTTCTGGGTTTTGTCTTTGAAAGGTACATTATCCACCAGTTTCACCACAAAACGACAGGATGGGATTGAAGCTCTCGAAGGGCTCTGCGAGAGACAAATCGGCTTTGGACTGTACGAGGGCTCACATTCTGACATACCTCACGGCAAGTGCTTACCTCCGTAGCTTGGTGTCCAGGAAACGAAGGCGAATGGTCATTGGGGGCTACGATCTTGACATGTCTTACATCACGGACAGGTTGCTGGCCATGTCTTTTCCCGCCGAACGTATGAGAGCTTTTTACAGGAACCCCCTCTGGCAGGTCAAGTCCGTGCTCGATATGCGACATCCCGATCATTACAAGGTGGATGTTTTGAAGAAACCTGAGACAGAACATTGATTGATTCTCATCCCACAAACCCTTTCTGATGCTTCTTATTCTTCTTCCTGTTCTTCTTCTTCTGGCAGATCTATAACCTATGTATAGAGGAAGCCTACGATCCAGCCAACTTCTACGGCCGCGTTGAAAGATTCCCCTTTGATGACAACCATGTTCCATCCCTTCATATGATCAAACTTTTCTGTGAAAGTGTTTATGCTTGGCTATCGCAAGATTCCAGAAACATTGCTGTTATACACTGCATGGTATACACCTCGGTTTAGATTCTTCCATTGCATGATCTTCTTGCACCGACAATTGCTTGATACAATGTCTGTATTACCATAGGCAGGAAAAGGTCGGACAGGCTTAATGGTATCTGCATACCTTGTCTATAGCGGAATGACAGCCGAGGAAGCTCTTGAGATGTATGCACAGAGAAGAACCACCAACAACAATGGAGTAAGTCATATATATGAGCTGAAGCTGATGATAACAGCAATAACAACTGTTGCTTCTGACTTAACATTACAGGTTTCGATACCAAGCCAGCGTCGTTACGTGAAGTACTGGTCAGATTCACTCCGTTTTCCCAGAGGAGTTGGAAATAGACTTCCCGAGGTTAAATTGCCTTTACAACACAGCAGAGAGTTGAGGAGAATCAGGCTTTATGATACAGCTAACATTGACGCGGTCTTCTTTGTGGTCTCGGAACAGCAAGAGGTACTCTTTGCATGGTTGTATTGTAGTTCTTTGCTTTGGATTTCGGATTTCAGTTTGTGTTTCAACGCGGCATGGAGTTATGAAAACTGAAGAGTGATCCTTTGTTGCAGATTCCTAATGAATTGTACAGGCCACCTGTAGAAGTTGTAAGAGGTTGCTGTAGACAAGTCAAGAAAGGTTGTTGTAGAAACACAAGTCCTCGGTATTATGTATCTCACTTGAGCTGTGATTCGGAAGAAGAGGAGGAAATAGAACGAGAACACATCCGTCTTGTTGTCCAGATGGATACAGAGAGTTCAATCATCGACGAGAAAACCTGTCTCGACTATTACTTTGAGAAACCTGAAAGAGTAAGTCGCCAATATCTTCAGACAATCTATTCCTCGGCCATTTGATGCCTTACTTCGTGCATGGACAGGTGAGTGGAGACATATGCATCACATTCTACCAGAAAATGATCGGGACCCGTCTCTTCTATACCTGTTTCAACACTGCTTTCATCACGAATGGCTTGCTCCAGGTAACCGTCACATCCCTCAACCAATTTCTCATGAAAAGTGGTACATGTAGAGAGCTCAATTCTCGTGCGCATGTGTGTGTAAAATCTTCTGCAGTTTTCCATAGCGGAGCTCGATAAAGTCGGTGGTCAAGGAAGATCAATATGTGGCCCTGATTTCAGCTTGGAGTTGCTGTTCGGCCCAGCTTATCCCAAGTACGGAGAGGTTCTTCCCTGCGAAGAATCTGCTCCCCAGCTCTCCGCTCCATGGAAACCAAGCTGTTGAGACGCCATTACGAATTTAACGGTTATGTTTCAAGGATCAGCCACTAAAGGGTTCATCTCGAGTTCACCAGCCCCGAGTCGCTCGGACAGGTATTCCTTCAAGTACAACTGTTGCCTTTGCAAGTAGCGCTTCCAACAGTGAAGCATCTCAACTGCAAAGACAAATGAGCCCAGCAGATAAAATGCGGACAGGCGCAAACCCAACCAATACAATCTCGGGATTTTTGTAGCAGGATGGTGATGAGACTGACTGACGTTTTTGGTAATTAATGATAGACAAGTAATGTCCTCTCAGGGATTGTCTTTGACATCCCTTTTTTGTCCAAAGGATGGCAAAGGCAAGAAAAACTACTGTTTCCTGTTTTAGATTACAAGAATATACTCCTTTCCTCCTCCTGTATACATCAATGTATAACACAATCCAGGGAACTTCTTGAAGCTCGAACAGAACACAAATCAGAAGGGAGAACATGTTTAAGTAAGAACTTTTTTGTAATGATGTCCCCTTCTCTGAAAACTGAAGGGAAATAACAGCAGAAACAATCAAATCTCTGGTAAATCATAAAATTACCCAAAAAAAAAAAAATACTGATATACCATGACCACAAACCATACATACATGGATAGATATAGAATTAGATGACAGAGCCGGTGTGAGGCCCAATAAGCCCAAGAACCTCAGTCCAAAGCCCATGACTATTGACATTATTACCAAGCCCAATAACACTAGCACTACAAGCGGCCACCGTCCAATACCCACCAAAGATCTCCTCTTTCAACTGCTCCTTGTCCCATTCACAGTACCCGTCGAAGAACCTGAACTCACTCCTTCCGACCAAGTTCCTCTTCACCATCTCTGCCGCCAATCCTATGCTCTCTCTCGTTCCGTAGTACAATCCCTTCATCACTTCCCTGAACACTCCGCTCCCGTATATTATTCGGTTTGGTTAAGTTCTGATTTTGATATAGTTCGGTTATGGTTAGAATATGACCTTAGCATCGATCATCTGCTTCAATCGGACAAGCAACCGATACTCCTCTTCCTTCACACCACACAGATCTTGTTGAAATCTAATGGCCCTCCGAAGAATAGCCTCTTGTCTGAGAATGTTCCTGCCACGTCCAGGACCGTTGATTTTGTCTCCCTGATCGACATTAGCGATGGACGGTTGAGGATTATCCCTATAGGGCCTGATGGGCCGACCGACAGGAGGAGGATCACTGTTCTTTCGAAGATGTGAACCCCGTCTAACTTCTCGGTGGCGATCAGGAGGCAACCTCTCTCTGGCTCATGGATCTTGTGTGCCCATTTGTCTCCGATTGTGGATGATGATGATGATGGAAAGTTCATGGTGAGGTCCATGCCAGGGGTTGCGGCTTGTTCTCCGGCCACGAGCCTTGCTCTGAACTCTCTCCAGTCAGCATCTGCTGTTGAATCATTGCTCTTGTAGAGATCATTATCATCATCCATGGGCTTCCATGAATCCGAATGCAAGCCTGGTCAGAGTGATTGATCGTCCATCAGGGTATGCAAATCTACTTGAGGAAACGATAAAGTTTCCATCTTTTTCAAACGATGATGAGAAACAGGATCAGGATGAGAAATTCATACTTACAATTTACAGAGACAGGAGAAGAAGCAAGCTTCCTGGTCAGAAACTGGCCGGAGTTTCTCTTGGGACAAGAAAAGGGTCTGGCTTTGATGAATGGCACAAGCTCTTTGGTCACAGAGATTGATCTTGATGTAAGAAAACAAGCATCCATGTCACTTACCCTCTCTCTCTCTCTCTCTCTCTCTCTCTCTCTCTCTCTCTCTCTCTCTCTCTCTCTCTCTCTCAATTCAGCTCAGTTCCTGTGCAAAACTGCGCGCAGGGCAAAACAGAACACGAACTTATAAATAAAGAGAATGAACAGATGTGAGCCACAAGCTGAAAGTCCTTGTTGGATCTAGTAGGGATCCTAGTCAGAAGAATGGGCTGCGGATAATGAGTGTGGGAAAGA